CTGCGATGGCAGTTCCAGAGCAGATAAACGTGTGTTAAAACAAGTGCCCGCGAAGACAAGACATCCTTCTCCCTCTTTCTCAAAAGAAAAGAGAGACAGGTGCGCTTCTTCTTTAATACTCAAAAGCTTGGCAAGAAAGAAAAAGCGCCCCAGAAAATCTCGGTGAGATCCAACCAAAAGACGGAGTTTAGGGAAGCCATTTTTCCAAGCCGGGCTAAAGGGCCACCTAGCCTGGCACCTCTGCTTGCCACCCTGGCTAACCAGGTCCCTCATGGGATGCCAGAAGCAGGTCGGAAGGGCAACGCTCACTGGGAAGCCCAGAAACGGAGCACTCCCTATTCCAAAAATCCCTGTGCCATTCAAGGGTGTTGCATCCAGGGTCCCCCGGAGAACTTACAGGCATGCTTCTTGGGCCATCGTTCTTTCAACCCTCAGCATGTGCTCTTTGTCTGGTCTCCGGCTTTTCCAGAGTGGGACCCCGACCAGCTCCATGAAAGTCCCCCGTGAAATCCATCTTGGGCAGACAGACCGGCTACAAGCCCTTGTCGAAGACTACCAAGCTGTGACAAATGTGAAAGAATAGAGGCCCAGCGACTCAGCTGGAGTGGAGGCAACGGCACTGGCAACAAGCAACAAATGGGGATGGGGACAAGTCATCGACCCCTATGTGTCTGGACCAGCAATCCTCACTCCAGGCAGCTTTCCCATCACATGGTCAAACTTGACTTCCGGTGTTAACAGGAAACAACACAGCCTGCCGGATGAAGGATCCCATCTAAGTGGGCTTCTGTGCCATATTGGGGATAAAACACACTCCATCCTGACATCTAGAGCTTGTGGCTTCTTTCCTTCCACTCCCCCACACTCATGCAGCATGCTCCAGGTTCAAAAGAGGCGGCACCTCTCAATAAAGTGAGCCATCTGCACATCCTTCAACTGGTCTTCCCTGTCACCCCCTGACTTGGGCTCTGGGGTTGACGCCAGTCCCAGCTGGAACCACCCAACAGCCATCGAGCTGGTTCCATGGACCAAAGCCTCCTTCCTGGGGCACAAGCCCCCGGCTGCACACGAGGCACTTCTCAAGAGTTGCAATGGCCCTGGAGAGCAAGCTGTGTCACGATTTCAGGAGTTGTCATCCAGAAAGGAAAAGCAAAGTGTGCTGCTTATATAGCCCCCAATAGTGCTTAAAGCACTTTCTGGGTGGTTTACAATTCAATTATGCAGGCTCATCCTGTCTCTGCGGCTCCACTCATCAGCAGGACCAGTCACACTCTTTAGTGCATATGCATCAACACTGTCATCTACAGCAGAAGTCAGAGACAAATTCTATGAAGATATGGCAGCTACGATCAAGAAAATCCCTGAGAAATAGCTGTTGTTCATTCTTGGAGATTTTAACACTAGGGTTGGTGCTGATCACAATTCTTGGCCCACTTCTCTAGGCCTTTTTGGCATTGGGAAGATGAACGAAAATGGCCAACACTTGCTGGAGTATCGCTGTTACTATGGTCTTTGTGTCAGCAACATGTTCTTTAATATAAAGCTTCAACACAGAGTCTCTTGGAGACATCCAAGATCAAAGCACTGACGTCAGCTTGATCTTATCCTCACTACATGCTGTAGCCTTCCTAGTATTACGATCACATGCAGCTATCAGGGTGCTGACTGCGATACCGATCACTCTCTGGTATGTTGCAGAGTCAAACTGCGAATAGAGAGATTGTATCACACGAAAAAGGAAGGAAGACCACGTAGTGACATCAGCAAGACTCGCAATCAGAGAAAAGTGGGAAATTTGTTGTTGTGGGTTTTTCGGGCTCTTTGGCAGTGTTCTGAAGGTGGAAAAGTGGAAAAATTTGCCCAAGTGATTGAGGAAACCCTTCCAGGCCCGGCTGATGCAAATGCACCTGGAACGATGGGAACATTTCAAGAACGCTGTCTACAACAACGCCTTGTCCACATTTGGCAAGAAGACCAAAAAGATGGCTGACTGGTTCAAAGCCCATCCGGAGGAGTTGATGCCAGCCATCGAGGAAAAGAGGAGAGCTCTAGCAGCATACAATACCTGCCCTAGTGAGTACAACTTGCAGGCTCTTCGAGGTGCTTGTAATCAAGTCCAACAGACTGTCAGGAGATGTTCCAAGGATTATTGGCTTCAGCTCTGCTCTCAGATACAGATAGCAGCGGACACAGGTAACATCAAGGGAATGTATGACGGTATCAAGCAGGCTTGAGGTCCAACACAGAAGAAATCTGCTCCTTTGAAGTCTGCTACAGGTGTGCTCATCTAGGACTGAGAACAGCAGATGGACCACTAGGTGCAGCACTACTCTGAGCTATGAGTTAGGCATCCTTCAGTCTCGAGAGACTAGGGTAACATGCTCTGTATGGAGCACTTGGAACAGAGTCTTGTGTGGTCAATTCGAGAGTGACCATCGTGGGCTGAGAAGGCCAATTCGAGAGTGACCATCCCTTCCACACTGAAGACAAATACAATCTGTCCCCTGTTCAGCTCCCTAATTTTGTCGGTTTCGGGTTTGCCTCTTGGCCTTGGTCTGCTGGACAAGGGTCTCTTCAAATTGGGAGAGGCCATGATGCACCGCCTGGCTCCAGGCTGAATGTTCCGATGTCAGGGTTTCCAATCTGTTGAAGTCCATTCCTAAGGCCTTCAGATCCTGTTCGCAGATCTCCTTGTGTTGCAGCTGTGGTCTTCCTCTGGGGCAATTTCCCTGCACTAATTCTCCATACAGGAGCGATATTCCAGAGAGAATGTAGTAACCAAAGAAGCATTAAATAATATTGAGTGCCTGCCTATCTTGGAGGAGTTGGACAGCAAACCAATCTTAGCAGAAATAAAAGTGGCCTTGGATTCCCTGGCCTCTGGCAAGGCACCTGGAAAGGATGACATCCCTGTAGAAGTGCTGAAGTGCTGTAAAGAGACCATCACCCCTGAACTGTATGAAGTCTTTTGTCTTTGCTGGAGGGAAGGTGGAGTACCACAGGACATGAAGGATGCAAACATCATCACATTGTATAAGATCAAAGAAGACAGGGCGACTGCAATAACTACCGTGGCATCTCTCTTCTCAGCTTTGTAGGGAAGCAGCTTGCCCATGTTGTGCTGAAGAGACTCCAAGTGCTTGCAGACAGTCTATCCAGAATCACAGTGTGGATTTTCAGCTAATAGACCCACCATTGACATGGTATTATAGGTTTTTTTAAAAACAAATTATTAACCTTAGTTTTAATCTTGATTAATGTTTAATTGGGTTTTAATAGTGCTCTGTACAGCTTTTTAACCTGTTGTTGCTGTACTTTTTAAAAACCTGATCCACCTTGGGTCCCCCTCAGTTGTGAGGTGGCTCACAATTTTAAAAAATCAAGATTAAAACCAAGATAAATAATAATATATATATTTTAAAAAGCATTAAAAATCATACACATATAGATTTCAAATATATACCCAGTGTATCCTGAGTGGGAGCAATTCCCCCTCCCATCCATTCAGCCCAGCTTTCTTTATTTTTCCAATTCTTTGTCTCCCCCTCCTCACCCAAACAGAGCGCTGCTAGCCAAGCGGAACAGAGCCCCCCCCCTTGAGCCTCCTTAGACTTGAACGGGCGGTGAAGGAATTGTATTCAGACAGACGTTCACCTGCTAAGAGCTGGTGTAGTATGTAAAGCTATCCTTTGAGGCATCCACTTTCATAGTCTACGGTCTCTTTTTCAGTTGAGTTCATTGCTTTTACATCATATCACAGGTTTAAACGGCCCAAAGTGGATCTGTGTTGCACCTAGCATTAGAGGCGCTGGGCTAAATGCTCTTTGTGGGAGGCGGGAACAGGCAGTCCTATCAGACTGGACTGTTTCTCTGATACCTCGTATTTTCTAAGAGCTGAGTCCTCGGTGCTTGCATTCCAAGCAACTCCTATTTATCCGGAACATATAACTAGTTCACTTGTAGAAGAAAAGAGTCTGGGCGATACAGATGTCTTGAGCCTCGGTAACCGGGTGACAAGCGAGCCCAACATTTCGAAAGCCACAACAAAACGTTCTCGCATTTTGCTTTGCTCTCTCCTAACAAGCGCAATTCTCAATCAACTCTTGTTACTTCTGTTTTTATTTTAAGTATAATCCATTCCCCCCGCCCTGCAAAAGCAACGCCTCCCTTCCAAAACAAACAAACAAACAAAAAAAAGCAAGGCTTTTAAAGGCCCTGCAAAAGCAACGCCTCCCTTCCAAAATAAACAAACAAAAAACCAAGGTTTTTAAAGAACCAATGGCACCCATCTGGGGTTTCATTAGGGAGCCACCCACCACTTTTACCGGCAATTCTGGGGGTGCCAGGTGGATCTGGGAGTCAAAGTGAACACACTGGGGACCCGAAGCGGCCACACATTGTCCGGGGGGGGCGCGTGTGTGTGAGTGCCATTCAATTAAGATCCCTTCTTACTTCTCCAGACGTGATGCTCTCTGACAACTGTGCCTTCTACTCCGATTTGACGTGGGTCTAAGTCCTCTCCAATAGCAACAAGACTGAACGCCGCAAGTTCCCCCACTATCTTTCTCCCCACATGGTAGAGGGTGAGGAAGAGGGCCTGCCCTTGAGGGCCACCTTAGACGGAAGCCAACCTTGTCCCGCCTTTGGCATGCTCAGTGGTCAAATCATGTTCTCCTGCTTCTGTTCTGATCCATTTCTGCACCAGGCACGTACTGCGGTTATCCTTTAGCAAACATCCCAGCCCTACCCCATCCTTGGCTTCCTCCTCCTCCTCCTCCTCCAATTCACTTCCAGATGGCTTCTTCTCTAGGGGTCCTGAGCTGCCCTAGTTCCTCCCATCCTGCCCAACTTCCTTGCTCATCCCCTCCAATCCCTCACTCCTGTTTGTATCCCATACCCCTTTCCCAGTGAACCGGGAGAGTGCCATCTATGGGGCAGGGAGGGATGGGGGGAGATATGGCCCCCATCTTATCCAGCCGACCAGGTAGGGTTAAGCTGACCTGATCCAAGCGAAGGGCACCGTCTACAAAGCGCTGCTTCCGTAGCTGCTGGGCGATGCGGTGGAGATTCAGGACTGCGCGGTGGACTTCAGCCGTGGAGTGTTGGGGAGAGACAGGGGGCAGCTCCTCTGGTGAGAAGACCTTTTCGGGATTCTCAATCATACTCTGGGCATGATCATAGCTGAGCTTGGCGCAGGAACAGATCACCGTCCGCCCGAACCATTCGCCCAGGATCTGAAAGGTGAAGAGGGCAAAGGCCGGAAGTGAAAGAGATGCCACAGAAAGGAAACACCAAGGGGAAAAAATAGGTATCCGTTCTCACAGGTAGAACTTCGAAAGCTGCAATTCTTCCCTTGCAGATCCACTTGTTAGAAAGGCTGGGTTGCAAGGTCGCCACAGAGTGGCTTATGGAGACAGCGCGATTCAGGGGTGGACCGGCTGGAGGGGGAGCCAAGAGGTTCAGGTTCTAGTCCATGCTAACCCGTTGGCCATCACAGGTTGACCCCAGGCCAGCTTCACTCAGTCTGACCCCCCCACACACACACACACAAAGGATGGGGATGATCAAATAGGAAGGAGGGCAGCCATACAGGCTGCTCTTAGCCTTCGCGAATATATTGCTCTTAGTTCACTGAAGGAGGACAGGCTAATGAATAAATTAAAAAAAAAATCATGGAAGCCGGAACTTATACTTATCCTGCTCTTTCTGAGCACAATTAACATCGTACACATTTGTGTGTGTGAACCTCTTGGTCCATCTCCTTCCTTTACTCTTGTCCCATCATTTTGGAGACAAAAATCTTTTGGTTGTTGTTTTCGGTCTAGATGGGCAGTCTCTGTGGCCGGCATCTTCAGAGGACAGAGTTCTATCCATGTTCTGAACTGGCTTCAGAATATAGCCAAAGAGCCCAAAAAACCCACAACAACCGTCAGATCCTGGTTGTGAAAGCTTTCGAGAATACACAAAAATCTTTGCTTGCCTTTGTTCGTTTGGATACCAAACCAACCGGTCTCACTCTGGGGAAGAACAGAGTGCCATGTAAAGCCACCCTCCCTTCATCTGAAAGGCAGGGTGTTTATATACAAGCCACCCTCCCTTCATCTGAAAGGCAGGGCGGGAACATACAAGCATAGCATAGACACCTTCCACGTGTCCATCTCTACGGCCAAAAATAAGCAGCTGGTACTTTGATAAAGTTAGAAAAGAGACCAAGAGGACACCAATCAAACCATCACTCTGGAAGATGCTCTATGTGCTGCTACCTGCAGACGTAAGGTCTTCATTTACAAATGTTCTCATCTCTGGTTTTGGACCAGACAAGAAAAAAAACAACCCAGTGGGCTTCCATTCTTTGGATCAAATTACAAATGCTGGATGTGATGGACAGTTCTTTTTATGCTCATGGCTCCCTCTAAGACGGTGACACCACATCCTTGATCTAGTATACCAATGTGTTTTGCACAGCAAAATTCACCATGCAATCTACAATTAACAGGCAGCACACTACTAATAGCCATCGTGGAAGGAGACAGAGAGGGAGGAAAACCAGTGGAGGAAGTAAAGGAAGGAGGGAGACAAAGGGAATGAGGCAGAAAAATATCTCACCCTCCACTGGAGTTTCCCTGCCATCTCCCGAAATGTTAGGCCATCAGCCAGTGGGAGACAAATAATTAGCTCGCTAATGAGGAATAAACAGTTCATATGTTTTGTGCTGCATGGCAGAGCAGTGCATTTTTTTTCCAGACCCCCCCTCCTGCAAGCTTGCTTAGAGTTCCTTACACACACAACCCTCCACTGGAGTTTCCCTGCCATCTCCCGAAATGTTAGGCCATCAGCCAGTGGGAGACAAATAATTAGCTCGCTAATGAGGAATAAACAGTTCATATGTTTTGTGCTGCATGGCAGAGCAGTGCATTTTTTTTCCAGACCCCCCTCCTGCAAGCTTGCTTAGAGTCTCTCACACACACAAACACAAAGAAAGAAAGAAAGAAAGAAAGAAAGAAAGAAAGAAAGAAAGAAAGAAAGAAAGAAAGAAAGAAAGAAAGAAAGAAAGAAAGAAAGAATATTGCTGGAGGCAAGCCCTAATTGCCTGCATCCATATAAACTCTCCATGAAGGAAGACGTGTGCCCTCTTAGCCTGACACATTAAATGCCTCTTAAGTCATTACCTCCTCCTCCTCCTCAACCCTTCTAATCCCAGGCTGCCAGGAACAGCTGCATTAAGCCATGGCCTTCATTAATCTTGGCCCACCCCATTCCAGCTCAGCACAGAACTGTAAGGGCTCTTAGAGGCATTGACACTGCTGATCCCTGGAGATGAACTAATTCCATCAATTGAGCCAAATGTCACTTGAAAGTGTTGCTGTCTGGGCAGAGGCGCAAAAAGGAAGTATTTCCCATCAGAAAGTGGTTCTTCCAGAACCAAGGGCAAGCAAAAGCACAGCTTTATCTGCGAGACGCAAGGAAAAAAGAGATCAGGATTCAAGCCTGGGGAAACTGGTGGAACAACCGGGACAGCGAGAGGGAAAGAAAAGAGAGATGAGCTGACAGTCATCACAAGAGTTGGAATCTGAGCAACTCTCACTTGAGCAGCGTCATCCAAATATCAGCTGAATGGAAGAGAGATGAGCTGACAGTCATCACAAGAGTGGGAATCTGAGCAACTCTCACTTGAGCAGCATCATCCAGATATCGGCTGAATGGAAGGAACTATGTTCAAAAGGTACATGCCTCATGTGGGTAACTTCCATGCATCCTTGCTATAGATCCCACCCTTTCCAAAAATATAGTTTAAGAATGTATTTCCCCCAATCAGATGTGAGCAGACCCCTTTTTTTTCAACAAAAGAAGGCCTAGTCTCCAGGCCTCCGTAGTGTTCACCGAAGCCCGACTATCAGCTGTTCAGCGGCCAAAATGGCTGCCGGAAGCCCGGAAATGGCCCAAAATGGCCGCGCGCAGCGTTTTCATGCCCTCGTTAAGCGAGGGGAGGGCGCGAAAATGGCTGCCGGTCATTAAGAAGCATTGCTGAACAGTGAGTATTCGGCCCATTTGGAACACATTAAACCATGTTTAATGCGTTCCAATGGAATTCCCTGCCCCGTTCAACGATGCTTCAGCATAGCGAAGGTTAATCCGGAACTGTATGTTCAACAGGCACATGCCTCATGTGGGTGAACTTCCATGCATCCTTGCTCTAGATCCCACCCTTTCCAAAAACATAGTTTAAGAATGTATTTCCCCCAATCAGATGTGAGTAGACCCTTTTCCCAGCAAAACAAGGCCTAGACTCCAGGCCTCCGTAGTGTTCACTGTTGTTATTTAGTCGTTCAGTCATGTCTGTCTCTTCGTGACCCCATGGACCAGAGTATGCCAGTTCCTCGTGTTTTCCACTAATTCCCAGAGTTGGGTCAAATTCACATCGGTCCCTTCGCAGACACTGTTCAGCCACCTTGTCCTCTGTCGTCCTCTTCTCCTCTTGCCGTCACACTTTCCTAACATCAAGGTCTTTTCCAAGGAGTCTTCTCTTCTCATGAGATGGCCAAAGTATTGGAGCCTCAACTTCAGGATCTGTCCTTCCAGTGAGACCTCAGGGTTGATTACCTTCAGAATGGATAGGTTTGTTCTCCTTGCAGTCCAGGCGACTCTCAAGAGCCTCCTCCAGCACCACAATTCAAAAGCATCAATTCTTCGGCGGTCAGCTGCCTTTATGGCCCAGCTCTCACTTCCGTACATCACGACAGGGAAAACCATAGCTTTGACTATTTGGACTTTTGTTGGCAAGGGGATGCCTCTGCTTTTTACAAAGATGCTGTCTAGGTTTGTCATCACTTTGTTGTTGTTTAGTCGGGTCCGACTCTACGTGACCCCATGGACCAGAGCACGTCAGGCCCTCCTGTCTTCCACTGCCTCCCGGAGTTGGGTCAGATTCATGCTGGTCACTTCAATGACACTCCTTACATGTGTGCATTTTATGTGTCTTCATGTCACTTCTAAGTTAGGGTGATCCTACGAGTCAGTGACATTCAAAATCTCCCATTATTAACAACCTTGCACAGGTCTTGCAAATTCAAGGTCAAGGTTTCCCTTTTTAAGTCAATCCACCTCAGTTTACATCTTCCTCCTTCCCTACTCCCTTTAACATTTCTAGCTTTTATTATCCTTTACACGAGTGCCTGGCTTCTCACGATAGGTTCATGGTTTTCAGATTTTTATCATACAAGTCCAACCCAATCCAGTTTTCTGCATAATATGTTCAGTACTGTATACAGACAATATACCACTGATTGATACACTTGCACATTGTAAATCATTGTTTCTTGTGCACATAATAAATTTAGGTGTCAGGGCTATTGGATGTCGTGTCACAATCTTTATTTTAAAACATTCTACAGCTTTCCCTGATCCATACAGTAAAAGGTTTTACTGTAATCTGTAAAACACATGTTGATTTACGTACGGAATCTTTTGCTGTACTCCAGTAGCCAACATATATTTGCACAATTATCTCTACAGCCTCTTCCTTTTCTGAATCCAGCTTGAACATCCGACAGTTCTTATTCCGTATATGGTAAAAGTCCTTCCAAGAGCCCTATTCTTGTTTTAAATTATGCTTTGATTTTTAGATTTTATAAAAGAGATCTCATTTTTTTCTTTTTATTGTTGCTGTCATTTATTTCACTGGAACGATTCTTGTCTTTATCTCTAGGCACAACTTCCTGAAAATTTGTGCTTAGAATTTTGACTACATTCTTGTCAACTTTACTTCTGCTTCTCATCTGCCCCCACATTTTGAAGTTTCCTTAAGTTTTCCAGACCCCCCCTTCTACAAGCTTGCTTAGAGTCTCTCTCTCTCTCTCTCTCTCACACACACACACACACACACACACACACACACACAGAGAGAGAGAGAGAGAGAGAGAGAGAGAGAAATGAGAAAAAAATCATATTGTTGAAGGCAAGCCCTAACCCATTGAGTCCTTCCAATTCTTTTGATTGTAGCAGAAATTTTATTTTTGCATCCTTCCCCAGTAATGGTTTTTGGTTACATTCATAGTCAGTTAAATCTCAGCAATGAAAATCTTCTCTTGACGTGGTCTCTCAATTCCCGAGGAATGTTTAGTAATCTATATTTTAACATTAAGATTGTTTTACTATTCTTGTTTAGCATTACTCTGATTTCATCACTCTAAATATGTACATATCTAGAAACCACCCTCTGCTACAACAGTTGTAAAGGCAAGGCAATAGTCTTCTTTGCGGTCTTTCTGGAGGCAACTAGCTGGCCACTCTGGGAAGCAGGATGCTTGATTCAGAGGGACCTTTGGCTGGCCCAGCATTAACATTCTGGCTTCAACTATCCAGAAAATGGCCTTATTTTGATCTCTGGTTCCAGCACAGAACGGTTGTGCTTCCCAACCATTAAGAAAGAGGAATGCTTCAGTCCAGGTACATTCTCGGAAAATGTTACGGCTGCTCCACTCTCACCTGGATGGCATTTTGCAGGTCGGCGCATACCTGGGGCCATTGCAAATTCCAGCCAAGCGAGAAGGATGGCCCACGTACTCTGTCCCAGCAAAGACGCCCAGTCTTACCTTGCCTTCGGGAGTCAGCTTCCAAATGACAGAGAAGGTAAGTCTGTCTGTCATGGGATTGAGACTGCAAAGCTCCTCACAGAGCAGTTTCGGAAGCATAGGGATCACCTGGGGAAGAAAAGTTCAGAGGTATGAAAAAAACAAAACAATAAACTGCTTTCCCTTGAGAAAACTTCTATCCTCTCATGATGCCTGAAAACATTTCCCTCTCCATAAGCAACCCAAGACTTAAAGAGAAAGCAGCTGTGGCTCTTTCAAGCAGCTGGAAGTACTTTTTTGTATTTGATATCTAGCGGAACGCCTCCTCCCACCAAGATCTACCCGAATCGCTCATTCTAGCCAGGACGGGTGGCCAAGGGGCCTAATGCCGAGCAAGGGAGGCCCGGAGAGACAGAACAAGAAACCGGGCCTTCTCGGCAGTGGCCCCTCGCCTTTGGAACAGTCTGCCCCCAGAGATCTGCTTGGCTCCTTTGCTGGGTGTTTTTAATAGCCAACTTAAGACCTCCTGTCATCACTGGATTACTCTTGCCATCTTGAATTATAGATAGTTGTTTTTATTTTATTAGATTGTTTTCACTTCTAGACTTCGGTCTAGATGGGCAGGGTATACATTGACTGAATAAATAAAATAAATAAATATTCTTTGTGCAATGCATAACTCGTCCAGGAAACCACTGCAACAGGAGGTTATGATGGCCATTAACTTAACATCCCCTTTTAAAGCTGGTGAACTCATAGTTCTACTCATTATGATTGGTCACAGAAGAAAAAAACATTTTCCGTATGGAAATTTCATAGAGTACGTATTACGTTCACACACCCCTGCCTATCCTCCAGGGAGTTCCTTGTTTCAACTCCTTGCCGTTTCATCTTCACAACAACCCTGTGAAGTAGGCCAGGCTCAAGGTTACCAGCTTTCATGGCCAAGTGAGGATTTGAACCCAAGTGTTTTGAGTCCTACTCAAACACCCTAAACACTATCGATCGATCCATCTATCCATCTATCCATCTATCCATCTATCCATCTATCTATCGGATTCCACCCTCTGAGCCTATGGGCCTCTGATTAACCCTGAAGACATTACAGTGGTGCCTCGCTTAGCGACGTTAATTCGTTCCGCAAAAATTGCTGCAGAACGAAAACGACGCTATGCTATATTAAAAAGCCCCTAGAAATGCACTGAAACCCCTTCAATGCGTTCCTATGGCTTAAAACTCACCGTTGAGCGAAGATCCTCCATAGCGCTGCTGTTTTCGGTGCCTCTAGCTATGCGATATTAAAAAGCCCATAGAAACGCACTGAAACCCCTTCAATGCGTTCCTATGGGCTTAAAACTCACCGCTGAACAAAGATCCTCCATAGCGCCACCATTTTCGGTGCCTCTAAAGCGAGGAATCCATCCCTAAACACAGCGGGCGGCCATGTTTTTTTCCCGGCGGCCATCTTGAAACCGCTGATAAGCTGTGCGAAAATGGGGGCTTTGCAATCATCGCTTCCCTGCAATCATCACAAAGCGAAAATACCCCATAGAGAACATTGCAAAGCGATCGCTTTTGCAATTGCAAAAACAACATCGCTAAGCGATTTCGTCGATCATCGCTTCCCTGCAATCATCACAAAGCGAAAATACCCCATAGAGAACATCGCAAAGCGATCGTTTTTGCAATCGCAAAAACAGCATCGCTACACGATTTCGTCACTAAACGGAGCGATCGCTAAGCAAGGCACCACTGTATTTAGATTCCCGATGGAAGCTACCTTGGAAATGACTATAAACTGAAAGATAAGATTAAACTATAGGAAAGTAAAAGACCAAGATTAAACTAAGGCCATATTCTGTCTAAGAAAAAAGAACAAGTGCAGAAGAGTAATTTGGCAAGCGAGTCTTCTCTGCAGTGTCTGATTTTGGAATCCGTACAGTACAATCAGCTGTGAGAAGGACGGTTCGTGTGGTCATGAACACCACCTGCATGACTGCCTTTCCGCTCCATGGTTACTGTCAAGTGAGACATGTACACAAGCCTTAGTTTTACTATTGAATGCCCCATCTGTGCCAGGTTTGCATGGCAAGACTATAGAACTCTGTTTTCCCCCCAGAAACTACCCTTTGTGGGTCGGATCTCCTACTGGAAGAGGTGGGCTCTAGATGAAGCTCTTACGAAGTTCTGAATTTGCAGCACTGTTCTTCACACTACAGTACTACTGTTTTGAATGGATACTTGCTTTTTAAGAAATGTTACTTTATTTTATAGTCACAGACTACTCTGGGTGGCTGACAGCAAGTAAATAAAACAATTTAAAAATAACAGTGATTTACAACAACAATAAAAAAATCATTCAAGATGGAAAAGAAAAGAAAGAGTAAATCAAATACAAGATGGAAAAGAAAAGAAAGAGTAAATCAAGTAGTGTCTGGAGGGAAGGCCTGCCTAAACAGCCAGGTTTTCAATTGACTTTTACAAATATCCAGCGAGGTGGCCATATGGATCTCTGTAGGGAGGTTATTCCAAAGACCAGGAGCCACTGCTGAGAAGACAATTGTTTTAACCTGGTCTTGTCAAGCAGGTCCTCTCTTGAAGGTATGCAACTGCCTTATTTCTGTCTACCGAACCTCCCATGGCATTCTGAGCAATGATGGACTCTTGATGCACAAATGATTTGCAAGCCACAGCTTTTGTTACTGTAGATAATGTCAGCATTATTGCTAATCAGAATGAGTAAAACAGCAAGCAGAGAGAGAGAGAGAGAGAATAAAAGAAAGAATACCAAAGGCTCCATATAGGTTTCAGAAAGCAAACATTTTCTATCTACATGCCGAGCCTTCACAGAGAAAGCTCTTAAAATATTTAATCACGTTTGTGGCTTGGCACCCAACTCCCGCTCATAAATCCATTCTAATTGCCTGGCGTTGCTTGGGACTGGGCGGCTGGCTGTCAAATCTCCGGCCGGAAAAGAAACCACTTTCCATAAGAATCAGCAAGGCCAGCCGAACTGGAAGGTCAGGAGGGCAACCGGGTCCCCGTGATAAGCCTGTTCCTCTCGACACAAAGGGCCGCCAGCTGTGTTATTCCAGTGGTGTGGAAGCATGCTGACAATAGGAACCAGCCCATAACTCACAGATGTCCTACGTGAGGCTGGCCATGCCTCAGCCAGCAGCCCTGAGGTTATTCCCCTGTTCTGAGACGGGGCAGGGCCCTTCGGGAGGGTGCAAGGAAGGCAGGCTGCCGATCAGACCGAATATGGCTCAGGGAGAGCTCTTCCAATCCCGAGACAGCGCTGCGGAGGTCATGCACGGCAAACGGCACGATGTTCATGCCAAGCTTAGAAAAGTGACCGCTGTGGACTACAAGCGATAGTGCTAGTTGGAAGTGATGCAGAGAAGTAACTTTTCCAAGTGGTCGATCGACAGATCCAGCCAAAGTCAAGAAGGCTGATGGAAAGGGATACTCACGGAGCACGGTTCCCTCCTCGAAAAGCAGAAGGAAGGAGGACTCAAGAAGACTCCTGCTGCCGAAGGTCAGCAGCTCACCTGGGAGTACCGTTCGGGCTAGGCCTGCCTGAACCTTCCCAAGTCTGACATCACTTCCAGAGTCTCTTCCTTGGGTGCTCCTACCCTCAGAGGTGGAACGTCCGTCAAGACTTCATTATTCTACAGAAGACAGCAATCCGTTTGCAGAATATTCTGCCTACCTGGCGCTGAATCTTCCATCCTCACATTTATCCCTGCTCATGTTTTTAAACTGTTTCAGCCCTCTGCATCAGTTCTACATCTTTCTTTCTAGAGTATAAACTGAAAGATGTTGTGGACTTTTAGTTTTAGATAGAAGAGCAGGATGTCAAAAATCTGAAAGGCACAAATAAACATTATTGCCTGGTACTTATGTAATGCCCCACAGTGTGCCCTGATGACCTCGGGTCCCTCTGCCCAGAGTCTCTGGGGCAGTCTTAGGCCAAAAAAGGTAGCCTGCAAACCAGGCAGAAAAGAATGTATGGTTGCCACCTGTCACCAAGTCATTTCAGAAAGATGGTAACCCCATGAATCAAAGACCGCTGAAGGTTCTCTCAGCAAGAGAGATCTTGCACACCCAGGTGTAAATTTCACAAAGACGTACGGACCCAAGGTTGATCTAACAACCCCCCTGTGAGGTAGGCGACACTGCAATACAGCAGTTCTTCCGAGGCCAGCCAAGTGAGTTTCCAAGCTGATCTGGGGTCTGGCCTTCAAACCCCACCTTCTGAACTGCACTTGACACAGACCTCCAAGCCCCCCAAAAAATATCCCACTCGGCTGACTTTCCCTCAAGCTTTTATGCTTCCAGACTTTGGCGAGCTCCCAGATTTAGGAGGGTTCACAAGAGGCGAAGGCTGCTGTGGAGACACAGATGGGCTTGGGGGGGCCACGGGGTTCAGAGACAGGCCAGCCAAGGCCCGCTGGCCATGGGAATCTCAGTGGGAAAGCCTGAAACACTTCAGATGGAAAACAAAACTCAGAACCTCCCTCCACATCCCACCCACAATCAGGTTCCCATCATCGCTCAGGCCGGAGGCCGGCCCGATCCTGCTCAGTCTGGGGCAAAACACAGACTTCCAAGAAAAAATAATGAAGCCCTCCACCACTGGCATGCGAATTAAAGGGGGGGCACATGAAAAAGATGTAACTTCGCACCCTCAACTCAGAGAGGGGATGATCTGCGGCGGAATCAGAAGGTGGCCCCAAACCCTGAAAGACACGGGAAGAAATTAAGCCACGGGTTTGCAAGCCACGGGTTTCTGTGCAAGCGCTCCCTTCCGTTTCCCTTCCTTTCCGCATCAACGCATCCACAAATTCAGACTTCGACCGCCTCTTTACGATCCAGCTTGACGTTATCAAAATATCAACACCCTGACAACCTGCTGGTGTCAAAAAGTGAATGTCTCAAGACCCTTGGACCCAACACGGTGACCGGCTTCCAGTTCCAATCTTTGATCTCCACAGGTTGTGTTGTTGTTGTTGTTGTTTTTTAAAGAGGACCAGTTAAAACATGGTTGGGATTTATGGCTGACCTTCCCCGCTTGGACTACTTCACACCTAAAACAACACAGGGGGAAGTGCCAGAAGGGAGAAAACTGTTTAGGTTTGCCTGCTTTGTAGAACTCGATACGCTCCCGTTTAAGCCTCGCACTTTCTCAAAACAAATCATTAGCGTTTTGCACAACCACCCCTTCCCTCCCAGACAAAGCAGTTCAAGAGAATTAGTTATGCTGCGCTATTTGGTTTCTGTGGAGGGAGAGTTCCCACCGCTACTCCCTGTGTTTAGCCACGGAGAAGCCAAAGCTGTGTGTAGCACTAGCAGCTTCAGGCTTACAGGAAGAACTTTTCTCTGGAGCTGCTCTCCCATCCTGCCTTCCCAACATACTCATTAAAGACTCACATAGAAGACTGTTAATTTTAAAAGTACCTTTTAAGGATACTTTCATTTTTGGACTTTCTGCTACCCTTTAGGCTCAACACTCAGGTTCAAGTGTCTTTCCGCCCAAGAATCACAGTTAAGAGAATGTATGAATTAATACCCAGGCTTTTCCTTACATATCTCTTACTGCATATAATGCCAAATATGCTGGTGGCAAACCTTGGCAAGCTGGATGCGGTCAAACAGGAGATGGCAAAAATAAAAATTGACATCACGGGCGTCAGTGAACTAAAATGGATGGGAATTGACAAATTCAAGTCGGACGATTATCATGTGGAACAACTGATTGGTTCAAAATTGGGAAAGGAGTACGACAAGGCTGTATATTGTCCCCCAGCTAATTTAATTTATATGCAGAATACATAATGTAAAAGGCTGGACTGGAGGAATCCCAAGCCGGAATTAACATTGCCGGAAGAAATATCAACAACCTCCGATATGCAGATGATACCACTCTGATGTAAGAAAGTAAGGAGGAATTAAAGAACCTGTTAATGAGGGTGAAAGAGGAGAGCGCCAAAAATGGTCTGAAGCTCAACATAAAAAAATAATAATAATAACTGGTCCCGTCACCTCCTGGCAAATAGAAAGGGAAGATATGGAGTCAGTGACAGATTTTACTTTCTTGGGATCCATGATCGCAGCAGATGGTGATAGCAACCACGAAATTAAAAGTCGCCTGCTTCTTGGCAGGAAAGAGATGACAAACCTAGGCAGCATCTTAAAAATCAGAGACATCACATTGCTGACAAAGGTCCGCATAGTCAAAGCTATGGTTTTCCCAGTAGTGATGTATGGAAGTGAAAGCTGGACCATAAAGAAGGCTGATCGCCGAAGAATTGATGCCTTTGAATTGTGGTGCTGGAGGAGGCTCTTGAGAGTTCCCTGGACTACAAAGAGAGCAAACCTATCCATTCTAAAGGAAATCAACCATGAGCGCTCCCTGGAAGGATAGATCCTGAAGCTGAGGCTCCAATACTTTGGCCATCTCATGAGAAGAGAAGACTCCCTGGAAAAGACCCTGATGTTGGGAAAGTGTGAAGGCAAGAGGAGACAGAGAACAACAAGGGACGAGATGGCTAGACAGGGTCACCAAAGCGACCAACATGAATTTGACCAAACTCCCGGAGGCAGTAGAAGACAGGAGGGCCTGGTGGGCTCTGGTCCATGGGGTCACGAAGAGTCGCACACGACTTAATGACTAAACAACATGCTGGTGGCAATGCAGGATAAAATGTAAAAAAATGCAAAACCAGCCTATTTGGGTCGGTTGTTAAGTCAAATCTCTGTTGCAAGGATAAGAAAAAGTCTCCTGCCCCCTCAAAGATACAGCCTTCCCCAATACGGTACCCGTGAAATTTCGGACACGACTTAACAACTAAACAACATGATGGTGGCAATGCAGGATTTTAAAAAAAGCAAAACCAGCCTATTTGGGTGGGTTGTTGTCAAATCTCTGTTGCAAGGATAAGAAAAGTTCTCCTGCCCCCTCAAAGATGCAGCCTTCCCCAATATGGTACCCGCAAAAAAATTTACAGGACAACTCCCACTGGCTTCAGCCAGCATGGCCACCTGGTAGGGTGAACTGCAGTCCAAAGCACCTGAATTGAACCAGATTGCCCACTAGTTTTAGATTTATGCTTCCCGATTTCAGCACATGAGGTCCTGGGTCCAACCCACGCATTTCATGGATTTGTTGGGGACGAGAGCCATCCCTTATGGGAGAAGACAGCAGCTTAGCCTTACAGCATGCACCTCACAGGCAGGAAGTTCACACTCAGTTCACACCAGAGCATCTCCAGTTTAAAACACCCAGAGTTTTAAAACATGGGTGGCAGAAAGGACTCCTGCTTGAACCTGGAGAAGGCAACATTGAGATGGGGCTGGAAGTCATTCCAAACATATCTGGAGGGCATCCAGGAGTGTAGGGCTGCAAACCATTTTTGTTTTTGTGGTTTAGCCAGCAGGGAGACTAAGTGTGTGATTACACTAGGAAAGAGACCCTAATTATATTGGAAGCCAATGCAGCAACAGGGGAGTCAAACGTTCCTCGTATCCAACTCCAGTACATACAGTATAATGCACCAGTTTTAGCTTCCAAACCATCTTCAAAGGCAGCCTCATTGATTAAAATGATGTCTCTTTTAAGAAAGATGAGCAACTCGTGCTAAGACTACCACACCAGTACAGACTGTTTCTCTTCCACACATCAGATTTTTGTCTACGAATTAAAAGCACAGACACAGTCCTTGGAAACCATGAAAGGGTGATGAATGATATGTGATGTGTGAATCCTGCACAAAATGTAAGTGATAAGTCACACAATTCTACAATAAATCGTGATCTGGGAAAAGCCCCAATGTCACACATGTTCTGTTGCCCACTTCCAAGGAAAAGAAACATTATCTGCTTGGATTTTTGGAGAATGTTCGGAAGAACATTTGTCTGTCTGGGTTTTGCTCCAAGACAGTCACTTTATTCTCACCTTCTGCACAAGGTAGACGCTTGTCGCTCGCTGGCTGGCTACCTCATCCAGCTCCGTTCCTTCAAGCACAAAATAACTGACATCTGCAATATGGACACCAACTTCCAAGTTGCCTGAAATGACAAGAAAGGAAGATACCTGTCAGGCAACGGGTGAGACCAGGAAGCCACAGCAGGACGCCTCGAGACAGGGAAGAACAGAGTGCAACAGTTAAGCACACAACTTTTGTGCATATCCTATATGGACTGCAGCAGGAACGAGCCAATTTTCCAGCTCTCAAAAAGACACCCCAGTTTTGTTGTTGTTTAGTCAATAAGTCGTGTCCGACTCTTCGTGACCCCATGGACCAGAACACGCCAGGCCCTCCTGTCTTCCACTGCCTCCCGGAGTTGGGTCAAAGTCATGTGGCTTGCTTCTTCCTCAGTAGCATGTTGGACGCCTTCCGACCTGAAGGGCTCATCTTCCAGTGCCATATCTTTTAGCCTTTTTTTTTTTTCTGTCCATGGAGTTAGGTGCCTTGATTTCCACCAAACTCTCATTATACTTTTCAGGGGGGATGGGGGGGGAGGAGAAGAAAGGACAGTGTTGGCTGCATGTGGTGTGATTAATTATATAGTCCAATGGAGAATGGAAGGCAGCTAGGTTGGGGGTGCAGATGTCCTTCAATGTATTTCGATTCTCTAGATGTATCTTGAAAATGGGAAATTATTAGAAGAAAGTCTATTCCCATCTCACAACAAGTTCCCAGGGCAGTTTCCCCCATCTAGTATTTAGAAAAGAACAACAAGGCAACCTGTAAAAATTGTTACCATCATTTTCTAAACTTACAAGTAATAAAGAGCAAAATGACTTATTAAAACCATTAGGTTTTTTAAAGTGCAATGAGTAATGTAAAAACTGATATAGTGAATCCTTAACTACCGTATTTTCCATGTATAAGACTATAGTAAAGGTAAAGGTTCCCCTTGACAATTTTTGTCCAGTTGTGTTCGACTCTAGGGGGCGGTGCTCATCCCCGTTTCCAAGCCATAGAGCCAGCCTTTGTCTGAAGGCAATCTTCCGTGGTCACATGGCCAGTGCGACTTAGACACGGAACACTGTTACCTTCCCACCGAGGTGTCCCTACTGATCTACTGCATTTGCATGCTTTCAAACCGCTAGGTTGGCGGGAGCTGGGATAAGCGACAGGAGCTCACTCCGTCGCGTGGATTCGATCTTACGACTGCTGGTCTTCTGACCCTGCAGCACAGGCTTCTGCGGTTTAGCCCAAAGCGCCACCACGTCCCTCTAGTATAAGTATAAGACTAAAATCTTTAGATTTAAATTTGAGGGTCGTCTTATACATGGAAGTAAGCTGAGGAGAGAAAAAAACAAGTGGAGGGGAAAGCAGGGATCAAAGCGATCCTGCAGGGCTTTGATCCCTGCTTGCTTTCGCCTCCACTTGCTAATCCTTAGCAAAAGGAAAGTAGGGATCAAAGTGCTGCAGGATCGCTTTGATCCCTGCTTTCCCCTCTGCTTGCTAAGTCCCATGGGGCTTAGCAAGTATAAGGGGGAAGGATAAAAGGAATCCCATGGCTGTAAAAGGGGGAAAGGGATCAAAACGATCATGCAGTCGCGGGAATGCTTTGGTCCTTTTTGTCCTACTTTTGCTAAGCCCCATGGGGCTTAGCATGAAGGGCGAAAGCAGGTATCAAAGCGATCCTGCAGTGCTTTGATCCCTCCCCCCTACACTTGCTAAACGCCACTTAGATTCCTCAATTTTGGATTAGAAAAGTGGGGCGGCGGCGTCTTATACATGGGGGCATCTTATACACAAAAAATAAGGTATATAAAAAACTCTGTTCCATGTTTAACACTATGTCATTTCTTGCTCAGTTATGATTGCTTACTTTTATGTCAACAGCGTGTATGTGTATTTTAAATCTGAAAATAAAGGTCCTGCTTCTTCCTTCCCCAATAACACAGACCAGGAAATGTAGGAAACACCTAATTACAATTTTGCTTTGCTTTCGAATGCTCTAAGTTGTTCAGGAACCTGTGGATGACTTCTTCTCATGAAGAAAGAAGAGACAGGTTTTCACGTAGATTTGACAATTATTTTCAACTTAGAAAAACAGAACATGAACAAACCTGGTGTGTCTTAATCAATTTTAAGCAAGTGAACATGGTGATTACTTTCGGAATTTAATAAGAGCATGTAATTTTGGAACTACCCACCAGAAGCTAACGCACAACCTGAGGAAGATGAATTATCATCGAAAGCTGGCTTTTTGTTTTATTTTCTTAGCGATCTAATAAAAGTATTGCTTGTTCCTTCATTTGTATTAATAATGGCAACACAACCATGCATGTAACAACAACAAAAGTTGCTTCCAAAACCCAAGCAACAGTAATTAGTTGCCTGTTGCAGTGCATAACAAGGGGTGTCACAAGATACTTCTGAAAAGACATGAGCTGGACCATAAAAAAAGCTGACTGCCGAAGAATTGGTGCTTTTGAATTGTGGTGCTGGAGGAGACTCTTGAGAGTCCCCTGGACTGCAAGGAGAACAAACCTATCAATTCTAAAGGAAATCAACCCTGAGTGCTCACTGGAAGGAAAGATCCTGAAGCTGAGGTTCCAATATTTTCGCCATCTCATGAGAAGAGAAGACTCCCTGGAAAAGACCCTGATGTTGGGAAAGTGTGAAGGCAAGAGGAGAAGGGGACGACAGAGGAGGAGATGGCTGGACAGTGTCATCGAAGCGACCAACATGAATCTGACCCAACTCCAGTGGGAGGCAGTGGAAGACAGGAGGGCCTGGCGTGCTCTGGTCCATGGGGTCATGAAGAGTCGGACACGACTAAACAACTAAACAACAACAACAGTCTCTCCATCAGCACTGGGAGAAACCAATCTGATTTTTGTATAAGAAAATAGCATGCAGATCTACTCTCTTCACAGCCAGTTCTGTCCCATCCACCAAGGGCATCGTCGGACACCCAAATTGCAGAAGAAATAAAAAGAAAGATGGAAGGGTCCAGAAGTCCAATTCCAACATTGATTCAAAGCCATAAGCCTTTTGAAGACTGGTGTGGGTGGGTGTCCACGCAATAAGACTTATTTAAAAGGTGACATATTTAAAGATGACTCCCTCGGTCCTCCACAAAATAAGGATACGTGCCACAGCACTTTCAAAGGTGGGGAACAAAGGGCCGCAGAACAAGCCTTTGGAAGGTACCGACAACTACATTGCTGAGCTCTCGCAAGCTCCAGAAAGCTCCAATGCACCAGAGAAAGGCTGGTGAGCAGAAAGCGACTGACAGCCAAAGCCTTAAGGCCAATAACAGGAGCCCAACAGTGGCGGCGGCGGCGGGGGGGGGGAGATATCCCTTTTGAAGTCCTTATTCTAATATACCAACCCCAGAGGGCAAATATTGACGGAAGGAAAAGGGAGACGGTCATTACATCATGGCGCGGATCACAACCTAATCTGATCCGTACAGCTCCGAGCAGCCGTGAACTTTCTTGTCCTCCGCACAATGTTGACAAATCAAGAGAGATCCCGTTACTTGAGATAATAAAACACAGAAGCTGCCAACAAAAATATGCTGAACGATATTCATTTTCACTTAGGATTCCTATCTGGCGGTTCTAACAGCTTCCCCGCGCTTGAAACTGTTGGGGGAGGGGAAAAAAACCCTATTGGGTTACATATATTGATGCCATGTGACAAGGCTGAATGGGGTTTAAATTTAAACCATGCTGAATTAAGTCTCTAAGTAGACAAAGTTTTGCCAAATGAGTCCCCACATCATTGATTTGATGGTCTTTGGACTGCTTCTCTGAGACATAAAGATATAACAGGGAGGCATCACTAGACGTATCCAATACACGATCGAATATGGCCTCACCCTGACCTACTCTAACATTGAAATCTCCTGCTAGCAGAAGAGGGATCCCTAGAAACCTAAGATCAAGATCATCTTTTTTTTCTCCTCCTCTTTTCTTATTCTATCCCATCTTGGTACTCTTCTCTTAAATTAATTGCCTTAATTAATATTGTAATTGATGATTATATATATTTTATATTGATTTATTTTATGCTGTAAGCCGCCCTGAGTAGACATGGTCTAGAGGAGTATAGTATAAATTTAATCAATCAATCAATCAATCAATCAATCAATCAATCAATCAAATAAATAAATAAAAACAAGACCAGGGAAACTGTACTGCTCAGAGGTCTTTGTAACAAGGACTAAATTCACTCCTTTTTCTTTGCCACATGGTGGCATTCTTTTTTGAAGGCATTATTTGTTAAATATAATATTGCACAGTCGTGTTGGGCACAAACCTGTTCGTTCTGGTTCGTCCCAGTTCGTCAAGGCGGCAGCACAGCTGGTGCTGCTCCCCTTCCCCGCCTCCTCTGGCTCAATCAGACACTCGCCAGGCCCAGCGGGAGAGCTTCCTGCCCCTCCTCAGCTGATTTTCAAGTCCCGGCAAGAGCTCAGGCTTCTCTGCCCCGCCCTCTCGGCTGATCTCCCAATAATCAGACAGAAGGGCGGGACCAAGAAGTCTGTGAGTTTTTTGCCCGTAGGAACGCATTAAACGGGTTTTAATGCATTCCTATGGGCTTTTTTTCGCATAGCGACGAATGTATAGCGACGACTTTTGCTGCACAGATTATCGTCGCTATGCGGGGCACCACTGTATCTAAAATCAAACTTAGATGCAAAACTCTTGACTGAGAGGTGAACTATGCATAACATCGGTTGGATAGCTCAGTGGTTTAGGTCTCTGGCTGAAGAGTCAGAGGCTGGAGGTTTGATTCTCCACAGGGCCTCCTATGAGTACAGCCAGCCTTCATGGCCCTGGGCAAAATGCAGAGTCCCAGAGCGTCTCCAGAAGAAGGGAATGGTAAACCACTTCTGAGTATTCTTTACCTAGAAAATCCTGAAAAGGGTCATGTAAGTCAGAACGGACTTGATGGGACATTATTATGCTGCATAAAATCTAGGGCTCAGCCAATCCTCCCATTTTGTGCTAACGGCAAAAACAGCTGTTTTAGGGAGAGAAGTAGAAATAAGCTCCACCATTCCAGACACTTGAATGCTTTTACTGCCACTCATCTGCA